GGGGAGGATTCCTGAACAAAGTTCTTGTTTGGTTAACAAGGAAGTGGGTAATGGATGTTGAGTATGTAATGTGGCCTAATATTTGGGGCAAGAAAGACTAAAACTTGCTTGGTCCTATTCTATGCCAAAGGCTTTATATGGATTTTCTTGCTTAATCCTTATAGTAAACTAATAAGGGTAAAATGGGGACACTGTTATTCCCATCTTAACTCACGATATATGTGAGGCACAGAGAAGATGATTAAATTGTTAAAGTTCACACAAAAATAAGTGACAGCGTTATTCAAATTCAGATCTGCCTGACCTCCAAGGCCATTTTTTCCCCCATATGACATGGGTATCAAAGTAACAGTTGTCTGTCACATGACCTTTTAAAATAAATCTTTCTGACAAATTATCTTAGTTCCTAGCACATCTTAAGGATATTACCTATGATTATAGTTACACAGATGTAATCATAGTATGTATGCTGTTTTATGACCTGCTTTAAAAAATACTTGCCAATTGCATGAGTAAAAAACATATCTCGTTTTCATTTGCTAGATTTTCATAAGCCTTAATAGTCTATTCTATAGTCAGCAACCAAAGGGGTCCTTTAAAAATGTAAGTCAAATTATGTCATTCTTCTATTCCAAATTTCCAGCGGTTTCTCACCTCAGAGCAAAATCCAAAATCAAAGTCCCTATAATTGCTTTTTAGGCATTATAGAAACAGTAACTTCTCTGTACCTATTACTTTTCCGATAGCAATTCCTACTACTCTTTTCCATTCATCCATTTCAGACACACTGGCTTCTTTGCATTTGCTGTCTTCTCTGCCTGAAATGCTTCCCCAAGGATATCTGGCCAGCTCCTTTACCACCAAGGCATCTTTCCTGAAAAGTGACCTTCTCAGTGACAGCTTCAATAACCAATCTATTTAAAACATTCTTTATCTTTCTTCCACGATTTATATGAGTATTTATTACCTTCTCATGTACTATATAATTCCCTTATTCATTTTGCCTGTCTTCCCCCAACTCACACTAAAATACATACTCTACTAGAACAAGGATTTTTGTCTGTTCTGTCCAATGATGTATCCTTTGTGCTGAGATCAGTGTCTGGCAGATAGTATGTGCTCAATAGCTATTTGTTGACTGAGTGAATCTTTTAATGTATAAACGACTGATAACTTATTTATATTTCTCCTTTTAGGAACTGATTGTCATGTCCTTTGATTACTTTTCTAGGTGTTCAAAGTTTTTATTCATTTTATAAACTCTTTATATTTAAGAATATCAATTATATGGCAAATATTTCCCCCATTTTTTTTACCTTTTACCATTGTATATGTGTTAAAATATTCAAACTTTTACATAATCAAATCTAGAAATATTTCCCTTTGTGATATTGTGTTTTATTAGGACATGTTGACAAAAGGAAAATTTTACTTCAGAATAAATGTATTTAAAGGGTGAGCAGCACCTAATTTTTTCTGCATTTATTATATTTGAGTTTCTATTTGTATATATATATATAGTACTTAAAGAATCTGAATGAAGATTTAAACTTTTTGATATATAATCACATTTATACAATTATTTTTCTCCTGTGAGGTTTATCTGTTGAGCAAGAAGGGTAAACCATTCCTAAAGCCTCTCTTTTACATTAAGTTAAGGAAAATAATTTGATGTTCAGGATGATTAAACTTACAAAACATTTGTGTTTATAATATTTACATAAATTTATTAAGTTTTAAATACATTTTCAATTTAAATAAAAGGTTACTAGGCTATAAATCTAAATCATTAGGCTCTTGTGTCACTGGAACATTTATGATAATAGAATTCACTTATAAATTCTATTCTGTGTTTGACAATAAGTCTTTTCAAAACTGAACTTGGTTGCATACATTTATTTATTCCACCCCTTCCTTGAATTTTAAATGTTAAAAATGTCTAGTTGCTTAATGTGACATTTTGAATTTTTACAGACAAATACTAATTTCATGAACCAAATTTTAAACTCATAATATTTTAAAATCAAGAAAACCATCCGAAAAATATAAACATATGATTATGATGTTGCTTTAGGAAACAGAATGCCTATTCTTCTTTCCTTCGGTTTTTGCTTTTTGTTTAAAAGCACTGCTTCTACTTCATTAGTCAATTGTGCCTTTTCGTTATTACTAATTCTGATGGTGTGCTGACAGGTATAAAAATTAATTAATTAATTAGTCAATTAATTAATTAATGTAACTTAAAAATAATACCATGAAAAAATCCTTTTTATGGTATGATGGATCATAAAGCACTTTAATGTACTTTTCCTTCTAATATTTTTCTTCAAGATATTCAAAAACTTTAAAGTAATTTTTTCTGAGTGGGATTATTTTCCTATTTCCATATACAATAAAACAAGTTATTTAAATTCTTTAACCTATGCATTAAATTGGAGTATTCAATAGAGATTATGGTAATAAAAATGGAAACCAAATAACAAAAATCTATCATGAAATAAGTAAATCATCTTATCCCCTTACATTAGTTTATGTGCATGGTACATGTAGGGATCAGCTTAGGGCAAAACAATATGGAGTTAGAATTTCTGGTTTCTAATTATTTGGAGCTGCATGGCTAGTGTGGGGGAGGAAAAATAATTTTCCTCTGACCCTTCTAAGTTGTTCTGGCTGGACTAATAATCAAATTAACATAAGATAGATTAACAAGAGAAAATGACCAAATTTATTACACATGTTCATACAGAGGTTTCATAAGAATAGGGGACCCCAAGACAAATCAGGCTGTTTATATGCCATCTTGAGCTAAGGAGAAGGAGAGTTATGGGGAGGAAAAATCATTTTCCTCTGACCCTCCTAAGTTCTTCTGGCTGGACTAATAATCAAATTAACATAAGATAGATTAACAAGAGAAAATGACCAAATTTATTACACATGTTCATACAGAGGTTTCATAAGAATAGGGGACCCCAAGACAAATCAGGCTGTTTATATGCCATCTTGAGCTAAGGAGAAGGAGAGTTATGGTTTGGAACTTTAAAGGGGAGAAAGGTAATTCACATGGAGATGGAAAAGTAAATGTTTGGTAAAATAGTGTTTGCTAGGCCATCTTTAACAATGAGAAAGAGAGAGGACTTTGGTCAAAGCGGCCTTCCTATGGTCCTCCCCATCTATCACACCTAATTCATATTGCCTATAGTTATCTATGATAATAGCTCCTTTCCTGGAGCCGACCCTCTATCTAAATACTTTAGGCATGGGATTATTTAGAGGGATGGTCTAAGGTTTTTCTTGAGTCATTTTAAAAAACAACCAGCTTAAAATAATATCTAAAAAAAGGCTTATTTGAGATGGCAGACTTTGCTTCCCCTCACTGGGAAAAAGGCTTGTATGTTGCAGGATCTTTAAAATGGGCTGCAACTGCAAGGCCTGCCTGATAGAGTTGTGAATCATTTGGGGTTAAGACACAAGTTTACAAGCTGGATATGTGAATAAGCCTGAAGGAAGGGAGAGCAGGCTTGCAAGACTGCTTTCTGCTGGGGATAGGATGATTCATGAGCCAGTTCCCTCCTTCCCATCATCTCTCATCTAGCTCTTCCTCCCACTAGTCCACCAATGACCATGGCTGACCAGGGACCACGCAGAGGACCTAGAAGGGCATCTGAAGGACTTCAGAACAGAATGGGCCCAGCCCCACCACCTACAGTTACCTTTCTCTTTTTAAGCCTCATCTGCACTAGGTGTAAAATGAGCATGAAATAATGCTATCTACCTTATAGAGTTGTTTTGAGGATTAGAGATAATGCAAGAAGGTTTAGCTACAATGGGTGAAAAGTTTGTTTCCTAATCCCTCTCTTCCCCTCCTAATGAAACCTCTCCCGAAGTCCGCTCACCATAGCAGCGCTGAATGAAGCGTCAAAACTATCTCAGTCAGGATCTCCGTAAGGAAATTAGTGTGATTTAAATAAATTCAATAACAGTAAGGTGAAAGTGACTGGTACTTATAGGTGGCTTGGAGGGAAAATTTGCATTTTAAAAGCGATTTACCTGACTGGAAGGATTTCAGAAAACACGGACCTCCCCCCTCTTTTTTCGTAGGAGAATGGACTTCCCCGAATCCTTTCCTCAATCACCGAAACCATGCCTTGTCGGTTAAAAGCGGATTGTGGGAGGGGGCATTTAAAAATCACATTTAATTAATAAGTATTCGAACTACAGAACTAGCTCACTCCCCTTTGCACCAAGTGGCCTCTAAGATCATAACGACCTTGGTTGTCCTTATCTGGGAATGAACCCTCGCTAGAGAGAAGGGCGACAGGAAAAGACCGAAGCTCAACTGAATTAACAGGATGTTTTCATTTGAATAAACTCAACCCAGTTGTTACCTCCCCACTACTCTCCGCTAACTTTTAAGTTAACCCTCCTGGAGGGGCGAGCTGCCCCGGTTCTGCACCGGGCAAAACCGCTACAGAACGCCCGAGGATCTGGGGGCCCCTTGGCCGGGCACTCTCCACTGCCACCCACTGGACCCCGGGTGGGGGCGAACAGTGTGGTGACAGCGGAGAAAGTTCCCTGCTGTGCTCTGGCCCTCCCCAAAACTCGAGCTCGCAGAGCGGGGGGGAGGGTGGACTGATCAGTTTCCGGGAGGTTGGGGGAGCGACTCCGAACACAGATCCACCAGACGCAGTCATCGAACCGGGTTTCCACCGTTCTGCAGCAGCTGTAGGGGAAGACCAGCGCGCCGGGGGAGGCGGGTAGCCTGCCCCCACCTGCGGCTCACGGGGGCGTGTCGCGAGCCTCACCCGGAGGGGCACGCGAGGCG